AAATATACACACGTATAGAGATATAGATACATAGATACATAGATAGATAGATAGATAGATAGATAGATAGATAGATAGATAGATAGATAGATAGATAGATATCAGTAGGTTTCTATGGGGGGGAAAAAAGGCTTCCTGGTCTATCACAAAGCATCCTTAGAGAATTAATTGAATTACTATATATGAACATTGTAAATCAATATGAATAGGCAAAGGATATCTATTCCAGCAGTCCTCAACCTTTTTGGCACCGGGGACTGGTGCTCCTCTGAGAATCTAATGCCTGATGATCTGAGGTGGAGCTGAGGCAGTGATGCTAGTGCTGGGGAGCGTCTGCAAATGCAGATGAAGCTTTGCTCTCTTGCCTGCCACCCTTATAGCAGAGTGTACAACATATAGCAAGTAGCCAACAATATCTGTGGATGAAAGAGTTTGAGTTCACTTTCTCTCCTGACTTAAAAGAAAATTCAAAGATAGAATTATCCTTAGAAACTATCTCTTGTCCAACTGTTCTGTTCACAGACTTTATCTGTGAAACTGAGACCAGGAGATGGGAGGTGGCTTGCCCAAAATTATATAGCAAATATGACATCTATTGAATAAATGTATAAGTGAGTGAAGATGAGATTCCACCAACTAGGTTTTCTGGCTCAAGAATGAAATGATACAACAATGAACATTTTACTTTGTACAGTGTCTACATGCTCATTCATTACCTAGATAAATCCAGCACCTGCAATTCTGAGAAGTTGGAGAAGATATGGCTGCTTAGACGTCTCAGGGGGTTAAAGCTCAGATCCAGTTTCTTGACTGATGTGGGGATGTTGTTGGGGATTTTGTAGAGATTCAGCTCCATGCACTGGTAGGTAATGTGAGGAACCACCTGCAATGATCATACATTAAATGCAGTGTTTTACTGTGTACACCTCAATATACCTCTCCCCTCTCCTAGGCAAAAGTTTGGGAGGCCCTTAGTACAAGCTCAGGGGCTAGTCAACCTTCCTTTGTCCATCCGTTCGTCCATCCATCCATCCATCCATCCATTTATCTATTCACTTCACACTTATAGAACATATTACTCTAGATTAAGAAGGAAAGAACACCTACCATGTACCCAGTGTTCTAATCTTTACTGTAATAATGGCAACATTTACCAAGAAGCAATAGAGTCAAGTGGTAAAGAGCTGAGTCTCTGGAGTCCAAAAGCTTGGGATTTCACCCCAGCTCTTCTGTGTGTTTTAGGGCAAGCCTTTTTTTTTTTTTTTTTTTTTTCCCTAAGTAATTCCATGCATTGTATACAGCCTTGGGGATATTGCCAATCAAGGTGTCTAGACCTCCCTTAATCATAGCCCAGTTTTTGCCAATTGTGTTCTCTTCCTTGGCTTATTAATCTTTGATCAAGTGATTCAGAAATGGGGGAAAATCTTTAAAGGACATGGACTTCAGTGGCAGGACCTAGCAAATAATGTCAAATGTTTTATGCTGCCTTGGTTTCTGTGTTGGTTTCTGTTATTCTTTCCCAAATTATTTGTTAGTCTTGTTCTCTAATCTCTCATTTAATTTCTGAATTCTCCGATTTCTTTAACAAAATGTCTTGCTTAAGCCTGCTAATTTTGGCTTTCTCTTGTTTAATACCAGTAGAATCTGTTAAAAGGATTAAATGAGATAAGGTATTTAAAGAGATTATCTCAAAGCTTATTCTAGTGTAAATGATCAATAAATGTTAACATTTATTATTATTAGTTGTTATTAATCTCTTACTATATGCCAGTATGTTTCTTATGTTATATATTTTAACTTAATCTTCAAATAAACTTTTTAAAGAAGAAGAATTTAAAGAGATAAAATAATATGTATAAAGTCTCACAAGCTATACATGCAGGTCCTCACTTCACATGTCTGCTTAAATGTTACCCTTTTTTTAATTTAAATTATTTCCAATTAAAGTTGACATTCAATATTATATTAGTTTCAGGTATGTAGAGAGTGGTTAGACATTTATATAATTTATAAAGTGATTCCCCCAGTAAGTCCGGTACCCACCTGACACCATATACATAGTTATTACAATATTATTGACTATATTCCCTGTACTTATTTAAATCCCTGTGACCATTACCCTTTTTAGGAGCCTCATAGACCATACTGTAAAACAGAGGATGTTGCCAGTAACTTTTCTCATGCCCTCTTTCATCCTCTTTCACAGATGCATCACCCTCTGACATTATGTTGTCCACATGATTGTTCCATATGTATTGTTCATCTCCCTCACTAGATCGTACGCTGTGAAGGTCTTGTTCTCTGCTGTGTCTCCAGCACTCAGAATGGTGCCTGGCAAATGGTCGATGCTTAATAAATCTTTGTCGAATAAATGAATAACTAATTGAATGGAGGTTTGCTTAAATAACTAATTGAATGGAGGTTTGCTCACATAACTAATTGCTTAAATCCAAATTTTCTGTTTAGTGTTTAGAGCAGGACAAAGACCAACATGACATGGCTCCAGACTTTGACGAGCTCATACTCTAGAGTAAGGGTTAAGATGGGAGCACAACTCATACTACTGAAAACGGCCATTAACCAGGTTCGAAAAATATTTCCTCTGGTTCAGAAAAGGTAGAGATCAATTCTGGATACAGGGATGGTAAATGGCTTTTGAGAAAGAGAAGATTTCAAGGTGGGTCTTGAAGGATGAGCAAGATTTGGATACATGGAAAGAGTAAAAGGCAAAAACGTTGTGAGTAAGGAGGGGTGAAAAACTAGTTTAGATTAGGTGGAGCATGGAGGAAATGGTAAAATCCCAAGCCAGAGAGGAAGCCAGAGCTGGACAAGGAGGGCCCTCTACTTTGTCCTGTGGCAGTACCTTTAATTGTTTGACACATATAAATTGAACAACTACTATGTACTAAACACTGGAATATAGTGATAAATAAAGCCATCAATGATCTTGCCCTCTTACAGATTCCATTTGAAAGGGAAAGACAATGAACAAATAAACAAATATATATAGTGACGCGCTATAAAAATAACACAGCAGCATAAAAGATTAGAGGAGGATGGGAGATGGGGGCGGGGGGAGGAATTCCAAAGAAGGTGACATTTAAGCAGAGATCTGAATAAAGTGAGGGATTAAACCACGAAAATATCTAAGGCTGCATTGTCCAACACGGTGGCCACTAGTGACACAAGGCAATTGACCGTAACAAATGTGGATAGTCCAAACTGAGGTGTATGATAAAGGTAAAATATATACTAAAGATTTAATCCCAACAAAACAAGGTAAAAATTATTTTTAATAGTTTAGTGTAAATTATATTTCAAAATCATATTTTAAATATACTGGGTTCAATAAAAATATTAAAATTAAGTTCACCTTTATATTTTTTAACATGTCTACTAGAAAATTTTAAACTATGTTTTAAATGTAGTTAGTTAAAATTTAGTTAGTTAAATTTATTATTTAAATTTAAATATGTGTTCTACATTATGTGTTCTACCATTGGGCGGCACCGATCAAGGGGAAAAGCATGCTAGCTAGAGGGATTAGCAGTGCAAAGGCTTTGTGTAGGAAACAGTCCTAATAGCAATGAAAAGTTATTATGTTTTTAAAGAGGATAATTTGTCAGAACTGAGCCTCAGAAAAAACAGCAGTGACAAATAAACAACAAACGAAAACGCACACAGTGGATTAAAGGAAGAGAGCTATGGAGTCAGAAGACCAATTACTATCCAAGAGTCAAGGCTAGGGAAATGGAGGACTTGCCCTAGGCTGGCACTGAGGGGATAGGCAGGCTTTGGAGATCAGGAGAATATGGGGCATGAAGAAAGGGAGAAGCCAAGAATAAGTCTGATTTTATCTGAGGGTGACAATAATTGGAGGATCTCTCCCTATTAACTTAATGGCAGGAGAGTCACAGAACAAGGAGTAGGACTGTGGGCAGGGACTTGGAGGAACAGAAGACTGGGATAACAAATTCATCTTTGTTAGATGTTGAAGTCCGCTATTTCCCTCATCTCCTCTTGTTTATGCTTTTCTTGAGTTTCTGACCCTGCCACACCCTAAAATCCCAGGACATTCTTTTGGCTTATTGGCTCTATCATGGGCTTCCAAAGCAATTAGAAAGTCCATGCAAGAAATAAACAAAAGAGA